GCATCGCAAGATCGGCACCACTTTTGCACGTCATCCTTTGCATTATTCCAGTAAAAGCGCTCACAAACTTTCTGCAAGGTCTTCATTATTTCAAAGTGACCTCCTGTAGGGCTGTTATGTAGTTCTTTAAGGACATAAGGAATCCGGGATCTTGGAAGTATCAGTTGCCATCGGAATGTCTTCCCATCATTCGATTCGAATTTTCGGTATAAGACGCCGTTTCGAATGTGAAGTGAATACCAGAGTGCCCAGTATTGTTTTGTTGTAGGACTATAGATAGCAATGTCCTGCCATGTAGGTTTTCTGTTTGATGACTCCATCAAATCAATTATGGGTTTAATGTCACGGTCTTCCAGCTGGTCTTTCCTGACTTCATCATCACTCCACGGCTCTGGATCAGCCGATGTTGATGTCGTAATTTGTCGTGCGACCGGACTTCGCTTCGACTCTGGAATAATATCGCAAGGCAGCTTTCTTGGCAAGGTCTTCTAGACAGGGCGTTGGCGTTTCCGTGTGATGATCCCTTACGATGACGGATAGTGATGTCATATTTCTGGAGTCTCTGTATCCACCTGGCTATTTGACCCTCAGGATTCTTGAAATTTAAAAGCCAGGTCATTGATGCATGATCAGTGCGGAGCAGGAATTTTCTGCCGTATAGATAGTGATGGAAATGTTCTACAGCTTTGACTATGGCAACTCTTTCCTGGTAATTCCTCTCCAGTTTAGACAGGCACTTGCTCCAGTACGCCACTACAAGTTCTTGGCCGTCTATTTCTTGGGACAAAACAGCATCGACACTTTCATTGCTCGCGTCTGTGTCGAGAATAAATGGTCGGTCGAGCTGAGGATACGTCAGGATTGGAGCAGATGTTAAAGCCTCCTTTAAGTTGTTAAATGCATCCTCGCATTCTTTTGTCCACAAGAACTTTTGCTTGCTCTTTGTCAGCTTGTGAAGGGCTCTTGCGATGGAAGAAAAGTCCTTCACGAATCTCCTATAGTAGGTGCAAAGCCCTAGGAAGCTTCTCAGCTGATGGACATTTTCGGGACGTTTCCAGGATTTAACCGCTGTGATACCTTTTCAGGATCATTGCGCACACCTTCTGCGGAGATGACATGTCCCAGGTAAGTCACTTCCTTTCGGAACAATTTGCATTTAGCAGGACTCAGCTTCAGATTGGCTTCTTTCAGTTTCTGAAGCACCTTCCTAAGATTTTCTAAATGTTCTTCAAAACTCTTTGCGACGATGATGATGTCGTCCAGGTATATCAGACAGGCTTCGTAGGAAAGACCTTTCAAAACAGTCTCCATGAGGCGTTCGAATGTTGCCGGCGCATTACACAGTCCAAACGGCATCACCCTTGAATTGCCAAAGCCCTTGTCCCGTAGTAAATGCCGTCTTTTCTCGGTTATCAGGATGTATTCCTACTTGCCAATACCCACTCTTTAAATCAAGTGTTGAAAACCACTTGCTTCCAGAAAGAGTGTCTAGAATGTCGTCAATTCTAGGAAGAGGGTAACTGTCTTTCTTCGTAACCTCATTCAACCGGCGATAGTCGACGCAAAATCTTGTTGAGCCGTCGTTCTTTCTGACGAGAACGATGGGAGATGCATATGGACTTGCTGAAGGCTCGATGACATCGCCTTCTTCCATATCTTTTAACAGTGTTCGCACCTCTTCCTGTTTAGAAACGGTAGACGTCTTGGATGTTGCTTGATCGGGACATGATCGCTTTTATCGATTCTATGTTGTGTCAAACTAGTTCGACCCACGTCAGAAGACGAGCGGGAGAAAACAACTTGAAGATCTTTAATGACGCGATCGGCAGCATTCCTCTCTTTATCGTTTAATTGCGTATTCTGCAATAACTCCGATGTAATGCTCTCTGAGGACATGGATTCTGGGATGTTACTCTTTCTTTCAACGCTGGTTACTGGAGTACATGTTGCAACCACTTCACCTTTCTTAATAGCTCTCGCCTTCTCAGTTACATTGGTGACTCTCACCGGGATAACCGTTCTGGATAGGTCGACGAGTGTTGAGGCTACTAGTACTCCTTTTGGGCTATTACAGTTATTGGGATATTCTATGATGCCGTAGCGGAAATTTCTATTTTTAGGCTATGGATCCAGGAAATAAAAACTCGGTTCTTGCGGGTATTATGATATCATCTTCAGTTATAATTTTGTGGATAGATTTCCCTCCATCATTAATTCCGAATAGGGCTATGTCCTCAGATGTAGAATGCAATTCGTTATTTTTAAAGTCCAAAGAAAAATTCTATTTCCTTAGAAAGTCCAATCCGAGTATGCAAGAATCAGTGATCTCTGCTACATACGCCGTGTGATGGTAAGCGGCAGTTCCAAATGTGACGTTAACGTTGATTTTTCCATCGATGCCGATCTTCTCACCGGACACAGTTTGGAGGGTAACGCAGGGCGGCGTCCAGATAAGTTTGTTTCCCAGTTGTTGAGCCAAATCTTTTAAGTTGATGGTAACGTTGGCTCCTGTATATATCATCATATTGCAGGGAACTCCATTAATATGTCCTATTATGAAAAGTCCATTACTGCCGCCTCTCACTGCAGAAATCTGAAGCACTTTAAACTAGGGCTTTTCATTATCTGGCAACCTCCGCCCCGCGAGATGGCCACTAATTAGTTTCCCTGCTGCTTGCTAGGAGCGGTCTTAACATCCGTGCCCTGGGGTGTTCTGCAGTTCCGCCGTATGTGTCCTTCAGCTCCACAGTTCCAACATTTTAAGGCCGGTTTGTTTTCACTGATATTTCTTCTCAAGTCATTGAGTTGTCTGGTTATATCGTCTAGACGAACAGTGACTTGATCCCTTGGTTCCTGGACATAAGCAGCTCTGATTGGGTGGCGGTATCTACGAGTTGCTTGCTGGGCTGCCTCGAATTTCATGGCGTACACTAGAGCGCTTTTTAAATCTTTTATAACCGCCATTCGTAGAGCTTTCTGTATTTCAGTATCCCGGATGCCGTCAATAAAGTATTGCAAGGACAGAATTTCCCTTGTTTTCTGTCGGGCATTCCGAAAAGGCGAGATGGGACAGCCTTTCAACATCCGTGGCGAGCTCCTGAAGTGTTTCGGTAGGCTTCTGTTGGCGAGATTTTAATTGGAGCCTGCTGTAGTCTTTTAAACACTTCTCCCCAAAGCGCAGCTCCAAGGCGGCGGACAGAGCTTCGAAATCTAACCTTTTGTTATCGGGAAGATTCTGAAGGATATCCGCTGCGTCTGCTCTTAAAGAAGTGGCGAGATGACAGGCCTTAGCTTGGGAATCCCATCCATTCGCATCCGCCACGATAGAAAATTGTGTCTTATACACCTGCCAGGAGGTCTCCCCATCATATGTGGATAGCTTCAGAGAGGGATGAGCAAGTGTTGGCAAAAATTTAAAACCATCCGAATTGCTCCCTGCCGTCGCTACGAATTTCTTTGATGTATCGACTTCTTTCGCAACGGCTGAAACCCTATCATCAATTTGTTGCTCGACGGCAGAAACTCGCTCTTCTATATGTTCTATTACAGAAGAAACTCTTCTTTCTATTTCCTCGTTCACCGAAGAAACTCTTTCTTCAATTTGAACTTTTACAGAAGAAACTTTTTCTTCAATTTGCCCAACTTTATGTTCAACCACATCTATTCTGCCTTCCATAGCATCGAATTTGGTTTCTATTATGCAGGCAATTTCTCTTTTCATTTCGTATTGACTTTCTTCAATCTTTACTTGTATGGCTTTTATTTCCTCTTTAACAGATTCCTTAGCAACTTTTATTTCCTCTTTAACAGATTCCTTAACAACTTTTATTCCATCTTTAAACGTTAATTGACCAGCTTGAATGGCCTTCATTTCTACCTTAACGGATTCTTGTCCCGCTTTCATTTCTTTCTGTCCCGCTTTCATTTCTTCCTGTCCCGCTTCAATCTTTTCCTGATTAGATTTAATCTCTCCTTTCATTTCTTCTTTAACCTTTTAACTGGCATACCCGAGATTATCTCGGGCACAGCACTGGTGTTCGAAAATGTCACGCCCGAGTATTTCTCGGGGTAATTTTTTTTTTTTTTGAGTGCATCGTATTGTCATACCCGAATATATATCGGGAGATGTTTATTTCGGCTACATTTGGTTTTTCCAATAAAAAAATTTGACAATTTGTGTACCCAAATCATCAAAATAACTTGACAGTTAAAGGGTTAAACGAGGCAAAGGCTGATATCAACTGCCTTAATTACTCTTCCATCGCTCTTGTTATTGGCATTCAAACCTCACTCCTGACACCAACAATTGTTGCGTGCGTACGCGTTCGTTACGAAATGAATGCACAAGTCCGATGAAAATTGAAGAAAATTTTTTATTATCACAACAAATATGATAAAATCTCCTCAAATAATCGTGCAGTATCACAATATATCACAGTAGTTATCTTCTAACTATTTAAACGTTCAATAGAACTTAATTCAAAACAGCTAAAGAAAGCTAATCCTCGAATTCGCTACAGTCAACAAGAGCAGTTTTCTAAACAAACAACAAACTAAGTAACTACTACGAACTGAGAGGTTTTCCTCCTTTTATAAGATTTTAAAATCGCGTGCGAGAATTTTCTAGTACTTTCTCGAAATCAAAAAGAGATATTTATTAAATGTTTAATGCACGCGCTCTTGTATTTTCAATTTTCCGGCTTAGCTTTCTTTTAATATTCGTCACGCGCTGCACTGCGCGGGAAATAAAACCATTTAATTTATAATTGAACTAACATTAGTTATTTAAATGCCAAATTCGTAACAATATTTTACTTTAAATATTAAAAAATTTGCCGAAGTTTTTTTAGCGTTAACTTAGGTAATTCAAATTTAAGGACTGGCGGAAGGGGAAAAAAAGTCGTAATAAATGTTTTCATTGTTGTAGCATAGTGATAATTAAATATGAACCTTACACGCAAGAAAAAGAAATAAATTGTAAAATTTTAATTCATTCATAGGAACTGCTTATGCGGTAAAAATTGAACCTGCTGTGAAGGAAAATCATGCACTAAAATCGAAGGCTGAAATACCGGTGTTACTTCAAGATAATGTCATTGCTACTTTGGTAAACGAAAATTTTTCCTTAAAAAATGCTCCAGTCAAACAGAAACGGAAGTTTTCCGAAAGCTATGCTCCACCCAAAAAGAGAGGAAAGTTTCCCGAGAGCGATACTTCAACCAGAAAGAAAGGAAATCCTTCTGAAAATGATACTTCAGAGGAGAATAAACTCACACGCGCCAAAAGCAAGTGTCAAGAACTACGAGAAAATAGTGAAGAAAACCTTCGGACCGAAGGAAGTTTTCATTATGACTATAGAGAAGAGTAAGTAGCTGTGTCTAATTTAAAACTTATTTCAGTTTTTATAGCAGTTATATATTTTGTACCACTGAATTGTACCACAGTATATATTTTGTACCACTGAAAGAAAAGCGCATTTCATTTAACGATTTAATTCATTTTAATTAGAAAATTTGTTTTCGTTAGTTAGTTTTCAGTCACATCTTTGCTTAAATACTCTCAGATGTATTTCAAGAAAATTTTGGCTAGTCAAATTATTCCGTGAGAAAGTAGAAGGATTTTATACAATTTTTTTAATAACTTAAATCAGTGATGTACGGCTTTTCGCCAAAGCGATTTTTATATGACCAAATAAATAACTGGAATCTGAGCATTTCAGATTGCAGTTTAGCATCTCGCATCCCATTAAAGTTTCGAAAACTTAAAAAATATGATAAATAAAAATTTAGAAAATGAAATATAAAAGCTTTCAAATTTTATATTACGCCCAAACGGGCTACTTTTTTTTTTTTTTTCATCTACACACACATACACATTTTGAAAGCTTATGGGCTAATGCCGCATTGTGCTAAAAATATTTAAAAATAGCATATCTTTAGAATTTCCGATATACAGTCTCGAGCGCTGGAGAAAAAATGTTTTATTTACTACAATGTTGCCACTACTCGCTTTGAAACTGTTGAGCTTTTTAATAAAAAATTCGTTAAAGTTTTACAAAATATGTAGTAGTCAATAAAACAAATTCCAAATTCGGGCTTCCAGATGACCATGTTCGGGTGGAGGACTATGTTATTCAAAATTTGATGACTGTAGGTGCCGTTGTTTTTTCACAGTGCAAGAAACGGTACTTACGTATTATCGCAACCAGGTTGGCGCTATTTGTAAGTTTCAGTAAAAAAGTATGAATAGAAAGAAAATGTACATTTATTAATTACAGATAATTTTTAATACAGTTTTTTATATTTTATTTTGTTTTAAAATATAAAATAGCAATTAAACCCTTCCGGTTTCGAATTGAATAAATTGCAGAATTATTTTTTCGGCGGAAATCTTTTGGCTATTGCTTTTAGCACTGATTGAAAACCTTATTCGCCATAACCATGTACACGTCGACTTATTTTTACTTAAAAAAACATCCCAGAATTGCACAAAAATGGCATTGCGCACACTCTTGACTTTATCCATGTAGACTGCTATTTTCTCATAAATTACAAAAATTTGCACGAAAATGCAGGAAAATTTTATGTATCTCCATGTGTTTTTTTTTACAAAACTACGTATAACACGTAGGGTTGCCGTAAGTAGGATCGCCAAATTTGGCAATTTATGCGAATTTTGGCCTGGTTGCGATAGTACGTAAGTACCCAAGAAACATACGTTCATTCATGTAGATTCTCCAATGTTTAATTTCTTTAATTATAACACGGGACGATAATATTTGGTGGCAACAATTTGAAAAGTGATTCGACTCAAAATGCTGTTTTTAGACTAATACCCTTTCTGGGCTAACTTCCACTTGAGCTAAAAATTAGTATTTAAATTGAAATTATGATGTATTTTTTAAAAGTTTGTGACTTTTATAATTTGTAAAGTTGCATTCAAAATTTCATATTTGATTCCTGTTCCATGCGTAAAAATTTTTAAGTTCCATTTAACTACTAGTTTTATAATTAATGCGCCAGGAATTCATATTATAGAGCAGGGGTGTCCATAGCGTTGCTTGCGAGCCGCATGCGGCTATGGCAGGCGAATGGTACGGCTCTTATGCAAATAAAATATATGCATGAAATTATGGTAGACTTAAACTACTCAATAGTCAAAAGAAAGTAAGTCAAACCCTGACTAAATGATTATTTAGAATGAGACGTTCCTTTTCCATTTGAAACCTGTTTCATTATTTTTAAAATGATGTAAATAGGGACTTCCGGAATTTGGAAAATCTAGTTGCGGCTCTCGAAGTTTCCTAAATCCCAGTATGCGGTGTTTAAGTTTTAAGTAAGTTTTGTCACCCCTGTAATAGAATATAAATTTATGTATTTAATATATTGTAAAAATCGCAGTGTCAAATAGCAAGACAAATTTGTTACACTTGCGAGACTTAATTATTAAAACAATAGTTATGCATTTATTTTACCATATAACTTGCGCACTAGGCTAGCAACAAATATTTACATCAAACTGCGGCTAGGACGCATAATACGCTTATTAACAACCAGCAACATCTCTTTGAAATGTCAAAAAAAAATTAGTATTCAAATCAAGGAAAAACAATATTGTGTAATGCTCTACGTTGAAGTTTTAAAAACCGAGGGTTTCGTGAAAGAAAATATTGGTTTTGGATTTTTTTTTCTTTTTGTGAACCGAGAAAGAAATCTAGTTGTTTCATTAGAGCCAAAGCACTCTAAAGTGAGTACTACCTGTAAAAGAAGTCCTACGGTTACTTTGGTTGCCGTGTTCATCTTATTCATTAACTTTAGCAATAACCATTGCTACCAAAATAATGTATATGAATTTGGTGATTATTTAAGCAAACTGAGTATTACAAGAAGAATTGTAGTCATTTTTTTCATCATTCTCTTATTATTTTGCTACTAAATCATAATATCATTGTATTAATACCAAACTTATAATTAATAAAATTAATAGAGAAGAAAGAAAGCAATATGACCTCTCCTATTGCATACTTCCAGAGCCACAAAAGCAAAACTTGCAGTTAGGCTAAATTTATCTCCCCAATTCATTTACTCAGCCGATGTATAAAATGATACATCAAAATTTGATGCTGCAGTGATCTTATTGCAAGATAAGTGGAAATTCTAACGCATTGGGTGAGACCTGTTAATTCTAACTGCATCTAGATCTGACAAGGTATTTAATAAGTACATGAGCGATGCAATCATTTTTTCTCCAAAAATATACGTAGACGAATTCAATAGTAAGTTACACTTGAGTAAAAATGTCTCAGAATAAAAAGAGAAATGGAAACAAAGTTTCTTTATTGAATAACATAAGTCATTTTTCGATGCAGTCTCCAAATGAAATGAAACATTTATCGCACCGTACAAAATAGGTTTTCCATTGCAGTAAAACAGAGATCTCATCCAGCATTTTCTGGGCAATTCATTACGGTTTTTCATCGGTTTGAAAATGTTCACTGGAAAGATCGTTCTTTGTTTGTACAAATAAATTAAATCTCACTGCCCCGAGTCAGCGCTGTACGGGATGAGGCCAAACCTCTCATTTGAATTTCTTAAGCAACATTTGTGTTTTCTGAGCTGCATGGGGTCTGGCGTTATGGTGCATCAGTATGATGCCAACACTTAATTTCGTCTTTGATTTCTTTCCTCAAGTTTTGCATTGCGTGTCGGCTGTTACTGTTTTCTCTTTAGTCATGAATATGATGTAAATAATACCACTATAGTCGGAAAACTTGATTGTTGGAATTTGATTTTTTTGCCTTGTTAGATAGGTCTTGTGTAGCCTTGTGTATATGTCTTCTATGGGTTGTGGAACGTTTCATTGTGGAGTGCCGCTCTGATATGCGACGTAGGAATTTGTTTCTTTCTGAATCATATGACTGAAGATGATTGAAACAAGACCACCAACGTTTTTCTTTGTGTGCTGCCGTCAAAAGTCGTGGCACCCGTTTCGTATAGAACCTTCAATATTGCATATCTTCATGAATAATGGAATACCCACTTCCATACGAAATGCCCAGTATATTCGAAATTTCCTAAATTTTTATGGGTCGGTTGTTTCGAAGAACGTGCTTGACAGTTTCAACACTGGAGGTTGCAGGTCGCCCTACGCGATAATCGTCATTGCTATGGGTGCGGCCATTTTCAAATTGCCCTCACCACTTCCGAAATTGCAGACCGCGATATTGCGTTGTTATAAACAGTGATACTTTAACGGTGAAGTTCTTTGCAATTCAAGTGCTTAACTCCCTTCACTTCCGAAGCTGTTATATCTATTTTGCAAACCCACGAGCTTTACGTTTTATTTAAAATCCATTATCAACTGGCGCCAAGTGTAACTTTAGTTTTGATTTTCCTTCGTGTACTGCAATTAAGGCCAGCACCAAAGCTGATGCAACCTATGCCACTGCACCGTGCGGCTGAATTTAGTAGCAACAAAATTCATACAATAGAAAAGCACTAAGCAATAAAATTTAGGGGTGGCAAAATTTTTAAAATTTAGGAAACAGGATTTTGGGCAGCAAAATTTTGGAGTTAAAAGGAGCCACTGGTCACCAAAATTTAGAACCGGCAGAGTTCGCACCCGGCCAAGCGGTATTCTGATAGCGACAGAATTTGCAAGTGAAAGGAGTCAAAATTATAATGAATTCATTTTAATTACAAAAGCTTTCATAAACAAATCATTAAGCTGTAAATAATTATTTCGGATATAATTTTATGAAGCAATTATGGATACATCTTTAAAGTTTCATTATCAAAAAGTTCTCAAAATCTACATAAACATATTAAAATATTTCTAAAACAACTAAAATAGGAATTATAACATTTTGTCTTCATGTGGTTACTCATAAACGAAGAGCAAATATAAAGATTTTTGACAGTATTTTTTGAGCTTATAATATTCTGACCAGGAATTGCGGATCCATTGAAAATTTGGGATATACTTTACAAAAACTGATATCATCATTTTCTAATCTGGTGTTGTAGCTTTAAGAGATTTTCTGATATTTACAATTTTAGTGAAGCTTCAGAAAAAAGGAGTTCTTTAGAACTGAAAATTTATATGTCTTATAAAAGTAATACAACAATTTAAGTTTCTCGAAATACAAAAATCTTAGATGCCTTAAACTGTTTTTAATACACGAGTCCATTTGATTGCATTGATATATTTTTGTAACTGTGGCATTTTAGATACTAATTTTAGTTTTTTTTTTTTTTTGTATAAATGAATTTATGGCTTTGTATTTTGTATGAGAACTTACTTTTCATATTCATTCTTTACATATCTTTTCATATCTTGTGATTCTGAATCCAATAACATTTAAGTTAGGAAGATAGCTGAAGTAGAACCTAAGACATAGCCAGGAATTCTCTTGTTGTTGTTGCTTATGCTTACTTGTCTGAAGTCAGCCCAAGCCCACGAAATTCCTCGTGGCAAGGAGCGCTAGATTGCGCCTGCCGTTGGCAACAGCCTTAAGTAGCATTCAGGTGATAGTGCGGTTTAGCAAGTTCCTCCCCCAATTTTCATGGAGAGCACTCCGGGGGAATGGATTCCGAGGGTAGAAATTCTCTTGACGGGCTTTAATGACAATTCTTATCGACATAGTGGCCTCATTTAGCGATTCTTCACCAACTTGACAACTTTGTGGAAATTTTAGGAAATGCATTTTTGAACGTTTAGGAACGGTTTCTCCTTGAAGCTTCCAGAGGACAGTGCAAACCATACACAAACGTAGGCTCCAACGGCCAAAATCAATTTCAATTCTGAGTGATAACTAGATTGCATTTTAGTGTTTACTCTACGAGCGCTGTCGGTAATATACTCTATTTTCAAACGTTAAGGAGGACTTTCTACATTCCCCTTTAATTAATTAATTACATATATTTACGTGTATTTTTTTTAATTATTATAAATTGCCAATTTATTCTAGGGTAATTAGCTGAAGAGATTTTCCATGAACCCGTAGCTCACATCAGGGTCAGACTTGTGGAATTTGAATGTCTATATCTAGGAGGATGGAAATGTAGTTGAAAGCTATTATGGAAATGATTGCTGCCATTCGGGAAGAGGCCACTCGTTAATATCCAGATGGATATACACAACGGAACAAAAGCTTCTAAGATGAAAAGTTTCACCAAGTGAATGCTGAAATGATCTATAAAGCTAGCTCAGGCATGAAAGAACGCATTGCGGTTTTAATGGAAAACTGTCAATGCTATGAATGAGAAAGCATCTGCTTATATAAACAAAACTAGAAAAATATTTAGAAAATAAATATAATATGCATGTTAAAGAGTATTAATCAAGATATTTTTGACTGTAACGAGAAACTCGATAAAGAAAGCATCCGCTATATAAGAAAAATTAGTAAAAGATTTAGAAAATATAAAATAAGATTTTTAGAGAATATTAATCAAGAAATTTCTGGCTTTAACGAGAAACTCGAGAATGAAATCCAAAAAATAATGGGACATGTTTTGAATATAAAGAAACTTTTGACGTAAATTAATGAATATGTGATTAACATGATTACACAAAAATATGAATAAATACATCATATATCCACTGTTTTTGTTCAGAAAAGTTAAGTCCCAAGAAAATAAAAATTTGTAATTCTTGTACTGGGCAACTGAGCGTTTTTTCTTCAGGTAGAGAAACTAAATATTTTCTTCTGATTTCCTTCATACCTTTCTGTTTATAATTATTGTTATTTTATTTTAGTAGAAGTAAAATGAATCGGAATCATATTTATTGGTCTACAGTTAAATGAAAAATTTTATTTGAGTAAATTACAAATTATTACCAAAAAGAAAATTTAGTTTTTTTTTTTTTTTTTTTTTTGTTTGTGTGTGTGTATGTGTGTGTGTGTGTGTGTGTGAATTCATGAGTAGTCTTTTAGAAAGGATAAATTAAATTATACACGTCAACGCACACTACAGAAAAACAGTTATTCGAGAAAGACTGTTTATTTAAATATAAGCTATTGAATTGCATCTGACAAAGCATCTTCAGCTAAGTTCGAGGCTGAAATACCCTTAGAAAGGATATCCGCGGAATTTTCCTTTCTAGGGCAATTTTACCATTTGTTAGGATCGGTCAAATTTTGAATTTCTTATACTCTGTTCTTCACAAAGGGTTTGTATTTTCAGGCCTTACCCTTTTCCCAAAACAGACATATTTTGGAATCAGTCCAGAAGTAGCAATTTACATCAAATTTCAAACATTTACTTACTTGTTTAGCAAGCCCAGAAGGTAATAAAGTAATAAACATGCTAGCAATTCCAAAAGTGGGAGTGTGATAAATTTGAAATTTGAAAATGGCGACCCTATTCTTAGAGCATATGAAACTAGTGATAACTCTATTGTCTTGAGTGAGTGCTCTCAAATATAGCACTGTCCCGTATGCCGCCATAGATGCATTTGAAAAAGAACATCAAATGAAACAAAATCACTTAAATTGAATTCAGAAAGATAATATCTAGGAACTGCGTTGTTATACAAATGTTCACCTTCGCTGCACCACAACTGCCACTTGTAGTCCAGTGAAGAGGGCAGTTCATCATCCCAGTCCACGCCAGTTGTCCATAGCTCTTGACGTAATAGCTTAAGTCGAACTATGAAAGGTCCGGTGAATCCAATTGGGTTAAAGATACGATCCAATATTTGCAAGAGGAAGCGCTTTGTACTGGATCTGTTGGAAAGAATATTCATCAAATTTTTTATGTGGAAAAACATCGAGTCCATGTCTATATTCTAGGCCATTCCTAGAACTTTCGACGGCGTACTATATCCAGTGATGGCTTCTCCGGTATCAATAGTTTCTATACCATCTCTCTTCCATAGGTTGCGAAGTTCGACAGAATTAATATGCTATTTCCTTAGCACCATTCCCGCATTCTTAAGAATTTCAGTGCTTTCGGGAATGGTTTTCAGAGCTGTCTCTACTTCGCCAGCTCCAGCAAAAAATCGTCAACCCAGAAGGAATTTAGTAGCAATTCACAGGTTTCTGGATACAAATTTCGATAATTTTCAAAATGAAATTTCAGTGTAGCTGCGAGCAGGTAAGGACTTGATGTAAGTTCAAACAAACACGAGTAAAATTCAGTAGAATAAATTCGCTTTAACTTAGATCATTAATCCAGAAAAATTTAGTATACAGACGATCTTCTGAGTCGATTTGAATTTGCAGGAAAGCTTGCCGTATGTCCGATGTATAGGTTATAGAATTTTGCCTAAATTTTAATAGCAGTTCAAATAAATTAGGATACAAGTTCGCACCAGTGTGGAGATAGTCATTTAGTGAAAGTCCTCCTTCTACATGAGCGGCGCCATCAAATACAATTCGCTGACGGCTGCTGACTTTGTCTTCTGGAATACCAGCGTGGTGGGGTAAGTAAAATGATAATTCATCCTCTAACAAATCAGAAGATATTTCAACTATTCCTTCTTTAAGATAACTATCAAAAACCTTCCGATATTGCTTGTACAACGACAGATCTCTCTTGAACCTCTCAACTATTAAAACGTTTCAATGCGACCTCCCTATTATTACCCAATTTCTCCTGCATACCTGCTATCCACGGGAACTTCACACAGTACCTGCCATTTATAAACTGAATCGATTCGTTAAACTCCTTCAGAATTTCCCCTTCGACACGGGAAATACCTGTTTCGTCACTTCTAATGACAAAACTCTCCAATTCCTAAAAGCGCCTTTGCTCAGCGGAGACCAAATCTCTTTCATTGAGAACGAAATTAATCGACGTGGAATTACTTAAATCATCATATTTTCCTTGGAGTGACCATCCAAAGGCAGTTTTATAGCTACTAATGATGTGTTCAACCGCTCAAATCTCTTTATCAAATTCCAGTAATAATCTACTCCTATCAACAATGAAATTTCACAATTGCTAGGTAACTCTTTAAAATCAAATGTTAAGGGAAATCCTCTGGATTTCATTTCTGCACAAGTACCTCAATCTGGAACATTTATAGCAGCTTTCGATATTTCATCAATTTCTAATGCTTCAATAAGCACTTCACTTCCATTCAAAATATTTCTCAACTTCAATTCTACCCTTCGGCAAATCTGCCTTTTCTTTCAGTCTTTGCGCCAAAGCTATAAATATTTAATTTTTCTGACCCAACGACCTTTAATCCCAACCTTTCAGAAACTTCTTTCTTTACAAATGTGCGATCAGATCCATTATCAAATAAACAAAAAATAAAATCTCACGACTTTTTTCTTACAATTTCTACCTTTACCAATTGCAACAAAATTCCTCTTCTGTCATTCAGCGTATAATTCGATGAAGTAGCAACTGTTTCATTAGATTTTATTTCCGAACCATGTTCAATCCTTTGTTTTATTAGAATTTTCTAATTTAAAGCATATAGCGCGGGCGTGGTTACCGTTTCAAAAAAAGCAGTTTGCCGCTTTGTAGGCCTTTAAACAGAAATTTATATTACAACACAATAAACATATTTTTTCTCGTAAAAGCTTCTCTCTCCTTTTTTTTTTTTTTTTTTTTTTTTTTTTTTTGACAGTTCAAATTTTACACAAAATGGCTCATGTGCTGCTGACTGCAAAATATATAAGTATCTGAAGTAGCATTAGTCAGCAATTCATTAGCAGAGTAACGAAATTTATTGCGATTAGGGGCTCCAAAATTTCTATGGTTAGATTGTTTATACTGGCTACGTGTTTCGTGCGAAGAAGGAGAGTGTATATGAAATGTTCTCTCCCTTGCAGTAATTGGAACGATGTAAAAAATCCCTCAACTTCTTTAAATTATGATTAGTGCTCGATATTTGATTTTCGCTGAATTTCAAAACAAGATCGCTGGGAAAAAGTTTCAAAATTACAGCGCAAAGCATTACGCCATAATTTTCTGTTTTATACCTAATCTCTCAAGAGAACGAATTTGGGTTTGGCAGAAACCTGTATTTTAAGTGGGTTTGGCACTTAAAATACAGGTTTCTCAACTCTTGTAAAGTAGAAATGTTCTTTAACGGTGTCATATTCAACAGCTTAGACATATGGGCATTGATTAACACATTTTTCTTGCCAAAGATATCTAGGATCAATTTAAGAGCCGACTTATAGTTGTCTGAGGTAATAGCGAAGCCTTTAATACAAGAAAGAGCTTCGCCTCCAAAGCAACTAATCAAATAAGAAAATTTTTCTACATCTGGAAAGGGAAGGATTTTTTTCAATAGAATTTTCGAATTGATTTCAGAAATTTAAATACTCAGATGGGACCCCGTAATACGTATGAACTTTTAGTTTAGGTAACTTCGCGTTTGTATTTGGTCTACTTTGGTTTGTTATGGGTTGCACACATGCGGGTTCTTGTACAGATGAGGATTGCAACGATTTTATTTTATTTTTTAGTTTTATCGAGTTATTATATAATTACTTCATTGCATTTATCAATACTCTGTATTTCCTATTGCATGTCTGCTTCATCTAAAAGATCTTCGATTTTATTATCAATAGATTTGCGCTGTTCATCTTTGATTTGCAACTGAACTAAATGCCTTTCTAATTCATCTACTTCTATATGTGGTTCAGACATACGATTTTCTATTTTTGATATTAATTTAGTTACCTGTCTTCTATGGTAGGTATGTTGCTTTTTAAGTCTATCTAACTCTTTAGCCATTATAATAACAATACTACAACAAAACAATTGTATACTGTCGAACGAAACCGTAAACAAACTACTACTACACAATGCAGTTTCACTTAAATTCTTCGAAACTCAAACAAACTATTATCAACAAATTCTCTAACTAAATACTATTACTTACCCAACCGTTGAAGTGTTCCAACGATTTACGAAACGATATATCAATTTTACACCAGGTGGTTCATACAATTTCCGAAAACTATGCACCAATATATAAAAAAATCTGGTCCGAACAAACAATTAAACACAACTTCAAATCTTTAGAACAACTATTTTTCTATTTATTTTTAACAATAACAACTGTAAAGAAAAAACTGGTAATCATGGTAAAACTTTGCGACTGCGCAGATAGTCTCGCATAGGATTTTCACAGACGATGTGTTAGCGTCGCAGAACAAATACAAAAATATTAAACAAATGCAGATATAACACACGATCATGTAACTCTTCATATTTATATAAAAATGCACAGATGTTCGGTGTGGAGGCTTTTTGTAATACGGCAGATGTCTACACAATAGTTTAGTTCCTAAACTTTTGCCAAACAGGTGAACGGATCCACTTGGACCCATAAAGGTGGTCAAATGACTTATCATCTCGTCTTGAATTTCTAAGTAAAATAACTCAGAAGAAAGTTTAAAATAAATTATTATCAGTCTAACGGTTACATAGTACAATTTTATACATTGGGTTACCTAACCTGTATACTCAGGTTAAAAAATCTCAAATGGAGTTTCAAATGGAGTCTGCAGGGAGAGGTTACTTTAGAAAATAAAACATCAGACCTTTTAAAAATAAGCGTTTACGGTAGCAAAATGTCACATTATTGCCTGAAATATGTAATGTTCAAGCAGTGGATCATTGTACAAATTTTCGTTTGGCTACTAAGCTTTCATGATGGACTAGTCAGACGTACATGATGATCGAAATTAGGAAGACAAATATCAACAATTTAAAAGAAGAGTAATCAGAGCCGAAGCAACTGGTGCAGCTTCAGAGCGGTAGTACTAAGGGATGAAAAATTTTAGATATGCC